CGCAGACGCTACTCGCGAGTAGCGTTTTGCCCATCATTGAACTAGACCTTTTGCCGATAGTACCAGTTCTAGCTCAATACCCAAGCAATGCTTTCAACTGTCCAGTTTTACACGGGGATGTCATTGGCGGTGGCAATTGTCGCCCATTACATTACTTTGCAACTCATTTTTGACCGGTTTCGTTTTGGAATGCGAATGTGAATGTTAGGGATAACATTAAAAAAGCTATAATCAACTCAAGTCATCATAAGTTGTCAATTAACCAACTTATAATTTCTTGTGTGTGTTGCAGTTGAGTCCTTTCGAGAAATAGAACCGGAAGTTTCTTTTTCTTGGATTGCACTGGAGTAGTAATGGAACCTAAACGGGGGGTTCCTCTAATTTTTATTGGAATCGGGGAATTAATGCTGCCAAGTGCAGCCCTTTGATATACTTTGTGCAGCCCTTTGCTATACTACTACAGTCCACTGGATATTTGTGTGAAAAGGTGTGGAAGTAGAAGCTGTAAGCTTTTCTGGCATTATGGCCGTAAAAAACAGGGACGATAAATAATCATTATTTGTTAAATTTTAGCAAAAAAAATCAACAAGTTGTAATCGTCGTAAAACAGTTTTACCTATACTAACGTATTTCTGTATTTCCTACTGTAATTTACAATGATATTTATTTTTCGAGTTTAACCAATAAAGATTAAAGATAATAATTAATGATGTACATATTTCGAAAAATGACACTAAAGATGGCACAACGCCGAAATGATGGAAATTCGTCCCAAAATATATCATACACCCACCCTGTCGGAAACAACAACAACCAAAAAGAAAATAATAATTAATATTCGTTTAGTTTTTTTAATTAAGCAAAATGATTATTCCAGAAACTCCAAAGGTATACCAGCATTATTTCCGACGTATTCTTTTCACTGGTAGCGACACCTTAATAAAAGGAATAAGTCCGAAATTTTCAGGTTAACATTTAAGTTGGTTGCGCCTGTAGGACCTTCTAAATTGTATAAATAACCATTATTTTTAAATGGAAATATAAATCTTAATAATGGGGTATATCACAGAATCCATCGTAGTGCGATTTTTCGTGAAATTGCGAAAATGCGATCACTAAATCCATAGTATACGCTACTTCTGTAGCTATTTGAATTCCATGATAGCATTTTCGCAGATTTCACGAAAAATCTGACTACGATGGATTCTGTAATAGCCCTCAATAATTTTTATCTCTGCGTGAAAAAATAGAAATCCTAAAAAAATCATTTGTGATTGAAAAAATTACAACCCAAATTATTTCCGTTGAGCGAAAAAAATAAAACTCAATGATAATCATAAATTAATGATTAAATGCTGATTTCACTTATTTTACTCATGCTGACTATCGTCCCTGGTAAAAACATAAAAGTTCCAGCAAAAACTTGCATTTTCTAGCAGTTATTATACATACGCACATAAAAGATCAACTAATTAACGAATTGATTTTTGAATGAATGGCAGTATCTTAGGTATGCATATTAGGGTGGTCCAAAAATGCATGTGGAAAAAGTAAAGTAGGAATTTTTATGCTCTGACCCCCTAAGATTGTTCTATACCGAAAAAATATATCCCTATTTTTTTATTTTGAAGTCAAAAAATATTTAGAGCTCGCTCAAAACGCCCAAAGTTGTCCATGTATTTTATATGGGAAAAAAAAAACTTTTCGTAGAAATGGTATAGAATTCTTAAGAATCAATATTTTTCTATCGGAAAACTCTGTTTGTCTGCAGTAGATTCGCAATAATAATACCCAATTTCTTATTAAACCATTTTTTCATCGCAACTATAATTTATAGGTCCGCCAAAAATCCACAAAAGCCCCGAAAAATGCAATGGGCGGACCAATAAAAAATCGTTAGTATTAAAAAATGGTTAAATAAACAATTTGGTATTATTACTGAAAGTCTCCTGAAGAGAACCAGAGATTTCCGATGAGAAATTAGGATTTTTCATTTACGTTGGAAAAATAGATAACCTCCACACTAATTGCTGTCGTAGATCTACTGTCAAAAAATACAGTTATTCGCACGCTTCGAAAATCACTGTGAATCCACGGTAATTTTTTCCGCGGATTCGCGGTAAATACCCTTTCTCATTACCGTGGATATACGGTAATTTCTACCGTGATCTACGTGGCGCGTGTAAGTAGGCACTCCCAACTATTTTACCTGTAGGAGTTCTAAGATTATCAACCTACGCCAATCAAAGAAAACAGTCAGTCGATTTTTAGTAATTTAGTAATTCCTTGAAAGTGGATTTTAAATAGTTGGCAGAATTCACAAGTTATTTCTGGACATAGTGTTACGATGGGTGCCAATATGAAACTGTCGTTGACGTTGATAGTCCCCCACTCTTAAATTGTACAGTGTCCTTGTTTTTAAGGCTAATTGTAAAATAAGAAATTAAAATTTGCATTTTTTCACGAGTATGCCTATACATACATACATATATTAAAATAAAAGTACCAACCTGGCTGCCGGCACTGCAGTGATTCTTTGTCAGAGACGATGATAAGAGATTCACATAGACAAAAGGCCTCTATTTTATTCACCAATTTGTTGTCTTGTTTAGTTAAAGGCCTTATTAATAGCTGTATTAAACCAATCAAGATCGACAAAATAAAAAATCTAAACAAAAGTCGCAAATTCGACAAAAACACCTTACACAGTGCTGCCAGTACTGTATAAATTATGCCACTTTGTATGAAACTTTGTAGGATGAATATTACGAAATCCGTCGCAGATTTATAAGCGAGGAGCTAAATATTATTATTAATTTTTTTCTCGAAGTGTTCGCATTTTCTTTACGCTTTGGTCAGTGAATGGGCAAATAAAAAAAAGGTTAGCTGGAATAATACTGTTCAGATAAGCAAATTGCAAAATTGGTCCACATAATTTTTGGGTCATTCTCTTTGGAGATTCGGATCCTTCAATTTTGTATTACAAAGTTAGTGAGCTGGCAACATTGACGATTTCAGGAAAGCTGTCAAAGGGAAATGTCATAATCAGATGTTTTACAGACTGACTCATATGCGCAGTAATTTATACCCGGTAACTGTTTCTCAATTTTAAAACAAGTAATTTTAAAAACAAGCTAGTAAATTAATTATCGCTGCAAAAAATATTACTAAATAACTCAAGGGTGATAGAATGATATTTCGCTGCATCGTGTAAATAACTAAAGAAATATGCCAATTTTCTTTTCAATGTCAAGTTTGTAAATTTGTATTTAAATGAGCAACTCATATTTCATGTGACACTTGTCGCCCACGTAGCTCAGTACCGGCTTCTGTTTACACATACATCACCAGCATCATCATCAGCAGTGAGAAAAGAATTCATCGTCCATCCTTTTGGTGAGATTAGATTAGACATTCCAGTTGATTGGGATACTCGCTGGACAAATTCTGAACAAATGTGACAGTTTTATAAGCATTCGCATAGTAGAAGAGCATGGAAGCAACCAAAAAAATACTCAACTAAAGTACAACATTATTTTGGTTTTAAGAGGTATGGAAAGGAAGTGAGCTGAAAACGGAAGTACTTTTCTCCTCAATGGGTGGGTGGCATCAAGGTCGGCTACAGGTGCTGTTGTTGTGCTAATACTGTATGGTGTATGGAAATGACTAAAATATAAATGCTTTTTGAATGGTCGATGACAGTGAATAGTTATTGTGATGCATTCTTTATATTATCCATTTCAGCTAAAATTTATATCCAGCCCACCCACAATCTACACTTCAGTCCAATTTCTATACCAACTGTAACTTTTCCAACCCAAAATGTCCAGTGTAAACACACAACGTCAAGGTCGTTGGTATTTTGGTGGTATTGCCAGTGCAGGAGCCGCTTGCTGTACCCATCCTTTGGACTTAATAAAGGTTGCGCTGCAAACGCAACAAGGCAAATTATCGGTATTGCAACTAACAGCGAAAGTTTTACGAGAGCAAGGTAAAATATAAATAATTGTTAATCTAAGTTTAACGTTTAAATTTTCGAAATATGGTTACATTTTATCAATTTCAGGTGTACTGGCACTTTACAACGGGTTGTCTGCTTCCGTCCTACGTCAAATGACGTATTCAATGACACGCTTCGGTATTTATGAAGCAGGAAAAAAGCAAATCAATACTGATACATTCCTCGGTAAAATCGCCTTAGCCGGGTTGGCTGGCACCGTAGGCGGTATTGTCGGCACCCCCGCCGATATGGTGAATGTACGCATGCAAAATGATGTCAAACTGCCACCGGAGCAGCGCAGAAAGTTAGTTGACATGATTTTTATTTTCTTTGTGATTAAAACCTTTGGCCGTTATCGATTTTTTTAACAAACACATTAGTAATCACCGGCACAAACTTTATTAGCTTATTCATACTTAGCTTTCTTTCTACTTTGAAAAAAAAAACATACATATGTATGTATATAGTATAATCTCCTAAAAATTTTCAGCTACA